GATTTTTTAATAATTAAAAATAATCGAAACAAACTAATTTTTTTTATTCAAACCAACCCAAATTGACGACTCAGTTGAGTTTGGTCGGTTTGGTCGCTTTTTTTTCGAATTTTTTGTTCACCCTTATTTGTGATATTTTGAACTTTTAGATGAGATTGGATATTTTTAGAGAATTCACCTATGATTGAATGGTAGACAAAGTTCTTGGAGACTTCTTTAGGGATTGTTTGCCAAATTTCAAAAGAAAAACTGTTTGGCAACAAAGTAAGTGGTCAACGAGTAAGTTTTTATTATGAAAATTATAGACTTACTTGTACCTTTACAAGTTACTTATTTTTTGTCGAATTTATCAAACTTATTCCCGCCACACAACATGCTTCTAAAATTCTTGATTAATTACTTCAATTAATAGCCGTAAAAGTTACTCTGAGTGTGACTGCTAGAGGATGAAATCTTATCATAACTCGAACGTCCATTTGAAGTCAGTAAAAGTATCATAATTTTTTTGGTTGTCAAAAACATATCATAGTTTTGCTTGATAGATATTGAAATTAGCATTAAACTTATAAGGCGATGGACGTTGTGTATGAAGGAACAAGGTGAAGAGCCAGCAACAGAAGTAGGCTCACCATCTTGTGTGGACACGTGGAGTAATCTTGGTGGTGGAACCAGGTGATCCACATTTAGTGCTGCCTCTTTATTTATTCTTTTTTTTTTTTTTTTTTTTTTTTTTTTTTTTTTTTTTTTTAGTGCTGTCTCTTTATAGTTGATACATACATGAGCTGATGAGCGTGGACCATTCAATCAGTCAATCTTGGCAGATTAGCAACATTTTTATGCTTGAGAGTTGAGATGCATTATTTGTCTTAGCCTCCGCGTGGCAAATTTAAAAATAGTTTATTAAATAAAAGGATAAATCTAGTTTATCGAGACCCGACAAGCGGTGAGCGCCCCTAGTATACAGGGCCCATGAAATCTTGTATACCAAGCACAGTCCTATATAAAAATAGTAAGATAAATTATAATTGATCTTGCTAAATATAGAAATATTTAAATAATAATGAACAATATTCTTTAATTCAGTCTTCCCGGATTTTATGCTTACGTTCATTTTTCTGACAAGAGACGATAGGTGTTTACGAATCTTGAAGTATCTCTAATGTAACTATGAATGCTTAAAATAATCGTGTCATACAAGTAAAAATAGACAATGTTTAAATTTTTTTCTAGTACAAGCTAATAGGGACTTGAGATGCATTATGTGTCTTAGCCTCCGCGTGGCAGATTTAAAAATAGTTTATTAAATAAAAGGATAAATCTAGTTTATCAAGGCTCGACAGGCGGTGGGCGCCCTTGATATATTGGGCCCGTGAGGTCTTGTACACCAAGTACAATCCTAAATAAAAAGTAGTAAGAGAAATTATAGTCGATCTTGCTAAATATAGAAATATTTAAATAATAACGAACGATATTCTTTAATTCAGTCTTCACAAAATTGATGCTTATGTTCATTTTTCTGACAAGAGACGATAGGTGTTTACGAATCTTGAAGTAACTCTAATGTTACTATGAATGCTTAAAAAAATCGTGTCACACAAGTAAAAATAGATAATGTTTAAATTTTTTCCAGTACAAGCTAATAGGGACTTGAGATGCATTATTTGTCTTAGCCTCCGGGTGGCAAATTTAAAAATAGTTTATTAAATAAAAGGACAAATATATAGTTTATCAAGGCCAGACAGGCGATGGGTGCCCTTGGTATACAGGGCCCATGAGGTCTTGTACACCAAACGCAATCCTAAATAAAAATAGTAAGATAAATTATAGTTGATCTCGCTAAATATAGAAATATTTAAATAATAATAAACAAAATTCTTAATTCAGTCTTCACATAATTTATGCTTACGTTAATTTTTCTGATGAGAGACGATAGGTGTCTACGAATCTCTTCAATGGAACTATGAATGCTTAAAAAAATTGTGTCACACAAGTAAAAATAGACAATGTTAAAATTTTTCCCAGTACAAGCTAATAGGAACTTCATCAAATTGATCGATAAATAAAATAATTAATGTCTAGTACTTTGTGTAGATCCAAACTCTTTGTTAGATGGAAAAACTTGACAAAATAAATATTTTCTTTTCAAATATTTTCCATTTAGATTTAGACATAATTATATGTTTATTTTGAGAAAATAAAAGACAGTAATCCAGAGATTGCTCTAACTTTAATCTTAAAATTTATTAAATTACAAAGTTAAAAATTTCAAATCGTGATTTTGATATGTATTGAGCAAGACGTACTTTTAGGGGGGTTTATTCAATCGAAACTTTTGAAAACTTTGATGAACTTTTTTTAAGTTATGATTTTTGTGGATTTCGTGGATCTTTTAAATATTTGTATGAAGTTAGTAAAAGTTTTTCGTAGACTTCTATGAATTTTCATTTTAAAATTTTTATAGACTTTTGTGAAATTCAAAACACTTTTGAAATATTTCATTGGAAATAGAATTCACATGATTTTGATATGAAATTCTCATATATGAGGTGTTAATTCCCATAAGTCCCCTTTTCCTTCCCCTTATTCTACCTACATAATAAAAAAATAAAAATTTAAGACCTTAATTAAATAATTAATAATCAAAACTATATATATATATATAGTTTTTTCATATAAAATTTTATAATTTAATAAAAAAATAATATTTTTTTATAAAAAATGAATGAAAAGAGAAAAAAAAAATGTTATAAGAATCCAATTTAATTTTTTCATAGAAAATAAAGAAAAACAATAAGAGAGAGAAAGATAAATAGAAATAAATATAATCAATAGAAAAATAAATTTTAATCATACTTCTAATATTCGTAGAGGGAAAAAGGAAATAATTTTTTTTTTTTTTTTTTTTTTGGTGAAAGTCTCCCAAAATTTCGTGATTAATGAGAGACAAATTTAAAATATTATACAAGCACTTTATATTTAAAAATTAGTACTCCAGATACTTTGAGAGAGAGAAAGAGAGAGAGAGAGAGAGAGTTGTTATATCAACGTGAATGAATTGATAAGAATTAATAATTTTAACTTTGACCATAAAATACTTTTCAAGAACGTATGCAATTGAAATTGGACAAGCTAAACATGGAAAGACACTTTAATCTACAATTGATTTCCTCTCATTAAATATCAGACTGGTTGGAAGTGTAAGGTGTCAAACTATCTTAATCAAAGTTTCTTTTAAGCCAAATTAGGGTATGAGAATTAATTAATCACCTCATTAGAATCATCCTAATACTTCATGCACGTTTGGCTGAACTTAAACAGTTAACTTTGAAATAAAGCAAGAAAAATCCGTTCATCGATGGAGGAATGCAACTTAATCGAATTGTCTCCTTCTTCGAAACCATCACATGAATTCCCACCCAACTGTCAGTCAAAATGAAACGGAAAGCCAAAATCGAGTATGTCTTAACATAATTTGTTTATTTATTGATAATTTTTTGGGTAAAAGTTAGAAAGAAGTCACTGAGTTTGAACAGTTCATGAGTTACTCGTAAAAAAGTAGTATTTTGACATGTAAACAAGTAAGAAATTGTGGATAAAAAATTACTTAAATGTCAACTTACATTTATATAGGCTTAACCAAACACGCCCGTATAAATCAGAGAGCAAAAAAATTTAAGAGTAAAAAATTCCCAACTCAAATGATTTATCTAACACGTGGTTAATTAACATTCAAAGTAATTCCAGCCAATGACAGCTTACCACGTCAATAGTCAATGAAAAATCAACTAAAAAAAGATTTCAAATTTTTTTTTTTTGACTCACATTTTACAAAAATATCGATGACAATTAGTCTGATGTGATTTAAATTTTTTTTTAACCACAATACATAAATATTTGATGAATGCGATATCATTTCCGAGTTATAATATCTATTATTTAATAAATATTTGATAAATGTGAATACATATGTGTGATCTTAAATCTACTGAAAATAAAATGGTTAATATTGTTTTAGGGATTTCTTATTGGTCCAGTTCATTATTTCGAAGTAAGTGGATGACTAATGATGGAGACGATGTGTTTCAAAATATTTCTCTTGTTAATTAAACTTTTCTACCCTTGTCATCGTTAGAGTAAGATCTATAAAATACTCTTTTATCCGTAGTCTTAGAAGAGAGTGCTCCTAGCATCACAATATCTACTAGTCTAGGGAGAGAAGATACACATGGATATTAGCAATATATCTACTTAGAACCATCACATTATTGAATTTGCACAAAGTTGAAAAATCGAACACTGAAAGATAGAACTAGTTGAAACTTTTGAGTATAACGAATCCAAGTCGAAAATGGACTAAGACTTTTATACGAAGCCAGTAGATTAAGGGACAAAGATTGAACAAAAGAGTAAGAAAGACTCGATCCAAGTTGATGGTATCGAAGTAACTAAAGTTTTATCTAAAAAATCAATTTTTATGTGAATTCGTCAAACATCCAATGTTAGAAAAATTAAATTAGAAAAATAACGTGGAAATTCAAATGTTTTAATAACTTGCACGACCTAGTTTTCAAAGTGTTCAAAATACGACCTAGTTTAATTAACTTGCACGACCCCGTTTTTGAAGTGTTCAACATACGAAATCATTTACGCTGTTAGGAAATGCCGATTTTCAATTGCCCGTCTTCCTAAGTGTACCAAATAGTCAATTACTTGTAAAATCTCTTTTATTGATGTGCATGTGTCAAATAAATACAATCTCTTTTATTGTCCCTCCTGTTTGGTAGGGAATTAATTTTATTTATTTATTTATTTGATTGAAAAATTGTGAATCAAATATGTATAGTTAAAATTAATTCTTAATTTTACTTTAAATTAAAATCGAAATTTTAATTTCCACCAAATATCAACATAAATATCAAGTTGATTTATGGGTCCACGTAATGTGATCTTAAAACAGTACATTCACTGATACCCTCGGCTATAAAGGACACCCACTCCCACCACCCTAAGCCCACCCCCAATGCCTCCCTCGGTCCCTTCCTTCCTCCTCCACCACCTCCAGCAGCTAAACTCTCTTTGCAACATAGTTATCTAAACCCTCTACACTTCTAAACTCACAAGAAAACATAAATGGGTCAAGAAGATCACCGGCGGGTGGCAATCCCGCCGCCGCAGCCATTTGTGAAGTCACTGAAGAACACTCTAAAAGAGACATTCTTCCCCGATGATCCACTCCGGCAATCCAAGAACCAGCCGCCGCGCCGGAAGTTCCTATTAGCTCTTCAGTATCTCTTTCCAATCATCGAATGGGGTCCTAAATACAGCCTTAACTTCTTCAAGTCTGATCTTATTGCCGGAATCACCATAGCCAGCCTTGCAATTCCTCAAGGAATCAGTTATGCAAAACTTGCAAACTTGCCACCAATTCTTGGCCTATGTGAGTGAAAACATACACTACTGTTGAGCCTAAGTTGATTAAAAGTGCTTTTCAGATAATGACTTATTTTTCGCTTGTTGATGTGATTACTGCCACAGATTCAAGCTTTGTTCCGCCATTAATATATGCAGTCTTTGGAAGTTCTAAGGATTTAGCAGTGGGGACTGTTGCTGTTGGATCACTCCTTACAGCTTCTATGTTAGGCAATGTAGTGAATGCAAATGAGAATCCAAAACTTTATCTTCATCTTGCTTTTACAGCAACCTTTTTCACTGGCCTCTTCGAAGCTGCTCTGGGCATTTTCAGGCAAGTTAAAGTCGAGATGGATTACTTTACTTATTTACATATCGGGCACCCCAACAATTTTAGTAAATATTAGTAACTCGATTTAAATCCAGATCTTTATCTGGCTCTAGTAACATGTTATATGACCTCATTTGAAATCTCGATCTATAGACTATTAAACATATAAATGTTTTCATTTAATAGGTTTAATTAATATAAATAATTTTTATTTGTATTAATATCGGTAGAAAAATATTGCAGGTTAGGGTTTATAGTGGATTTTTTATCCCATGCAACCATAGTAGGGTTCATGGGAGGAGCAGCCACTGTTGTGAGCCTTCAACAGTTAAAAGGGATTCTTGGCCTCGACCATTTTACAAGTGCTACAGATGTTGTGTCCGTCATGCGTTCGGTTTTTAGTCAAAGACACAAGGTATCTTCCTCCCCGTCTTTTTCGAGCGTGTTTGATACACAATATGATATAGTAATTACGTATTAAAGATATTAGCGTCAAGAAAAAAATGATTTTATTTTGTTCTTTTTCCTTTTTTAGCCAAAGTTTCCCAACTTGTTTGGTACGCAATATGGTATAGTAATTATGCACTAAAGAAATTCACGTGTAGAAAATAACTTTATTTTATTTTATTACCCTTTTAATTTCATGTTTTTAGCCAAAGGTCTAAGTACCTGTCATCTTTTCTAAGCATGTTTGGTATGATATAGCAACTACGACTACTTAATTAAGAGATAAGCGTCTAGGGAAATATGTTTATTTTTATGTCTTTTTCTATTTTTAGCCAAAAGTCCATCCTTTCGTCTTTTCCGAAAATATACTAAAGAGATTACGGTCTAGAAAAATAACTTTTTTTTTTTTTGAGCTATTTAGAGAAAAATATCAACACGTTTAAAATTTACTTATTATTTTTCAAACATATTTTTTTGTAAGTTAAATTTTCTGATTTAAAAGCAGAAATGTTAAAACGTCATTTCTAAACTAAATTACTTGTTTTTAATTCTTATCAATAAAATGTTATTCAATTTTATAAAATCACTTCTTCACTTAAAGCTTAGCTAAACGTGCACTAAATAGTGTTCACTTATGTACAAAAATAGCTCTTTTTCGTAGCAATGAATTTTTCACAGTTTTACGATTTATCATCTAATTCCTTCTAAGCCTCAGGTAACACTGCACAGAAAAGTAGATAAAAATATAAATTTTTAAATAATATATATACCTATTTCCCAGTTTCATAATATAGTCTTCTGTCCTTTAGAAAAAAAGATAAAAGTAACAATAAAAGCTAACAAAAGGCAAACTTTTACGTGATCGGCGTTTTTGTCATTTTTCAATCATAGAACTGATTGAACGGTAAAATGCTGACATTGTCGATATCTTGTCTTGCAGTGGAGATGGGAAAGTGCCGTGCTGGGATCCGGTTTCCTTTTCTACCTTCTGCTTTCCAGATATTTCGTAAGTAATTTAAAATCCTAATAATTAATCAATAATTATGAATTTTGTCGAATATATTCTTGATTGTGCTTAAAAGTAATTGATTATTTATTTTATCAAACACAAGTTTTAAGGTTACTTTTTTTATTAACAAAACTTATATCCGTGTGCGATTATTAAATCTTAGAGCAAAAAGAAACCAAAGTTGTTCTGGATATCGGCAATGGCACCACTAACATCAATTGTCTTGGGAAGCCTTCTTGTTTACCTCACTCACGCTGAAAAGCACGGCATCCAAGTGGTAAGTTTGATAACTCGATATCTTGATATGGTATTTTATGTGTTTATTATGCGCAAGTAAGTTCAATTATTGTTCGTCCGCATGCTTAGAAAACTTTTGAATGGGTGGTCCTTGGCCTTTATTACTATTTTTGTGTCTTCGGACATCTTCTTGTGTACCTCATTCGTGCTGAAAAACATGGCATATGTGTTTATTACACGCATGTTCGTGCACATGTTTGGACAATTGTTGAATGAATGGTCCTTGGTCTTACTTATTTGGTAAAGTCTTGTCCTATACCTCACTTGCGCTTGGTAAATTTGATAATTTGGTACTGTTACATGTATACCGTAAGCACATGTCACCAATTTATGTTCACGGAAATATGGTGGAACAAATCTTGTCTAGAGAAATCTTCTTGTTTACGTCACCAAACTGAAAAATAAGATAACCGCATGTGAATTCATTTAATGTAGGTTGCACAATTGCATATATTCAGACAAACTTGCTTGGATTGTCCTCAGCACTTGGAATTCTTTTTCATTTTTTTTGCTTTGGGAATAAGAGTTCTTACATGGTGTACAATTTGGAATTATATGTATATACAGATAGGATACTTGAGGAAAGGGATAAATCCTCTATCAATAATGGATCTGGAATTTGGATCGGCTTATTTGACCACAGCAATCAAAACAGGGATAGTCACGGGTTTAATTGCTCTCGCGGTAAGTTTGGAACACAAATATCCAATAGAATTTTACAATACAATGAATAATTTGTTCTTGGTTGCTCTTAATCATTACGACCAGAAAAAAGGTAAAGGTCATTGACGAGAAAAGTAAAGGGTCAAGAGTTGAACTGGGTTTAAACTAGTAATTAAAAAAATTTAAAGAAACAAAATC